CACTCCCCCCCCCCCCCAAAAGGCAGGATTGTAACACGTCCTTATGCAGCAATGCCTCATCCTGCCCATCCCACGTGATCACCATGCTCCTGCAGTCATTCAAACGGCTGACGCAGCTATATGGCACTCTAGGAAGAGCCAAAAGACAAATCATGATTCAGAATAAAGCTGCCCTAGGGCAGAGAAGAGCCTGGACCTTTTTCTTTTTTTTCCAGGATATGCCTTATTGCTGCAAGCCTTTAACCTGCCTCATCTCTACTGACAAACATACTTGAGGATCTCCCTTCTGAATTTCCTAGGATGCCTGCCACCATGTGACAGCATCATGGGGCAGCGCTAATGGCAAAAGGGCCTGGGGGAGGTATTATCATCTCCCTGCCTCCCAGTGAAGCTGTGCTTGCTCATTTCTTGGTATTCCTTATCATACCCTTCTTCCCCTCCTAAATCACAGAGGGCCTGACCCTCATGGCTTGCTCCATCACACTGCCAAAGGCTGGTGTTTGCTGCAGCCACCATGCTCCAAACAGACAGAGCTGTTGCCAGTGCCACAGGCCATCAGACCAGGGTTGCACTGGGCGGGCAGGATGGAGAGCTAACTGTGACACTTAGGGCAGGTAGACAACTTGGGTGTCACAGGGCAACATTTAGTACTCCGTGTTACAGCTGCTGCATTTTATCCCTGCTTACAAGGAGAGCTCCTAACCCTAATGTTTGTTGTTCCCCCTTTTACTCTGTGAGGAAGTGTTATGAGTGGGTCATCCCTTTTTGAATCCTAATGCAAAAAAATACTTCAACTGTCATTTAAACAGAGCTAACAAACAAGTGACAGCTTCAGGCCCTGCAGGAAAAGATTGATGGATGGCAGGCATGCGCATGCTGTGATCATTGTATTATACTGGGGGGGGTGGGGGGGGGGGGGTGTGTATTACTGTTATTTGGGGATTTACAACAGCTGATCATGATTCTTTTTGTCCTTTCTGATATCTGTCCTGTTGGCCATGGAAGTCTGTTTTTGCTTATCTTTGAGGCTGGTTATATTTAGACTTTGGTGCTGGTATGCTCACAATGTGGCCCAGTCCCAAATGTACCAGCTGTCTACACCAGAGCTGATGCTGGGGCAGGCTACCCACTTGATGACCTCTGCATCCATCAGCCTTTGCACACAGGGTATTGGTGCCCACACTGCCCTGGCAGGAAGGGAGTCAGGATATGGCCAGGATACACATCTGGGCCAAGGATGCATGGAGACCTCATAGCAGCCTTCCAGTATCTGAAGGGGGCCTATAGGGATGCTGGGGAGGGACTCTTCATTAGGGACTGTAGTGATAGGACAAGGAGTAACGGGTTAAAACTTAAACAGGAGAAGTTTAGATTGGATATAAGGAGGAAATTCTTTCCTGTTAGGGTGGTGAGGCACTGGAATAGGTTGCCCAGGGAGGTTGTGAATGCTCCATCCCTGGCAGTGTTCAAGACCAGGTTGGATGAGGCCTTGGGTGATATGGTTTAGTGTGAGGTGTCCCTGCCCATGGCAGGGGGGTTGGAACTAGATGATCTTAAGGTCCTTTCCAACCCTAACTATTCTATGATTCTGTAAGGAGATGGGATGCATCTCTGGGTCTCATGGATTAGACATAGCCAGAGTTGGCCTTTGAGAAGGGGATCCAATATTATGTTCATGTCTGCTGTCATATGACAGTTCCTTCAGAGTGTGCCCTTCAGTGAACTTGATTTCATAGAGTATCTTCTAGAAACTGTGTAACCTTAAATGTAGTAAAGCAAAAACTTAATGAAAATGAATGACCTTATGGGCAGCTGGTTCTGGAAAGCCTTGTGACAGACACTTGAAAAATGCCTTTTAGTCGCTGGAAGGCATTTCCCAAGGTCGCCTTGGGATGTCCTGTGTATGTGTCAGCTCATGAAAATACTGTAGCCACAGGTGATGAAGAATTGCACCCACAGAGTAATTTAAACCTCCCAGGATTCTCCCTGGATGGGGTCAAGTGAGCAGAGGGAGAGCCTTGCACGTTTGACTTTACATGATGGAACAAGATCTGCTTTGTTTGTGCTTTGTCAAGGCTACAAAACTTGGGTCCATGTAGCAAGTATAAGTTACACTCACAGTGCTTGTTTGGGTTCAACTTCGCTGTTTCCTGAATTGCTAAAGGCAGCAGTCTCTGTTACATTGAGCTCTGGGTAGGCACAATCTTTTTTTGGGACAAACAATAGGAGCCTGCAAACAATGCAAAGTGGCCTACAGTCTGGTGGTGTTAAAAGGTTCATTTAAATTTTCTCACAACCCTGCCAGTCTCTTTTTAACATAATTAATATCAAATGAAAGTTTCTGTTTGTTCTGTGATCGCTGTTGCTCAGCTTACCTTGCAGCAGAACATACTAAGGCCTCATTCATTCACGTTATAACTTATGTAGTACTAGCCAGTTGGAAAATGATGACAGATTTGCATCCTGTTCTGCTCCGTTTAGGAGCTGATGTTCACTGACTTGCAATAACCGTGTATTTGCATAGTGCCTTTAACTCCAAAATATTTTAGTTTTACATGACTTATGGGTGGTCATTTCTATCAGCCTTGAAGTGCAGTGACTTCAGGGTTGGAATGTGGCAGCCAGTTACCAGCGCACACTATATAATAGAGTGTTGTGTGAATATCTTATCCATATGAAACTGCAAACAGAATTTGAGCAGGCAGGTATTTCATTCAGAAACCAGGCCAACCTCCCTAAACCTTACTCTTGCTGCAAGATATTCAGTACCTATAAATAAACAAGCCCTGACTTCACCTCTCTTTTGTACAGCAGTCTTGCCTCCAGCATTGTCCTGGAGTACAGCTTCACCACAACAGCCCCCCCGAGGCTCCTGCTGAGCCCCCTGAGCAACCACCTCTGAGCATCTGACCCTCCGAGGTGCCGCTGAGCCTCTTTGTCCTGAATCAAGCGTGTCCCTGCACAATGGGGATACAGCTGTCTGCCTGCCGGAGTTAATGAGCGTAGAGAGTAGGCCTTCAATTACGTTTTCCTCAGACATATTTCTCAAAGAGCTAGCTTCACAATAAAAAGGAGGTATTCTGCTCCTCATTTTATACAGGAGGAGGCTGGAGGCTAAAATTCAGAGAAATTAAGTAACTTGTTGAAATTACAAAGCAGATAAACAGCAGAGCTCAGAATCAAGCTTAGATCCCCACCCCCACGTCCCTATATGACTTGTGCATCTAACAAGGCACAACACAAAATCCACCACATTTTAGCTTTCATAGTAAAGAGGTAGTTCTGCTACAGCTTTCTGTTTAACTTTCTTTGGCTTTGCATCAAACCAATCTGGCTGTGTTCTTATTTTATACTTACTACCACCCTAAGTAGGTTCTTTTATGTGTGGGCGCCACAGAAATTAAGTTTTAAGCTAGAGTTTAGTGGGATCAAATGTTAGGATACAGAACTCCCAGAAAGTTAAGAAGACTAAAACCTAGGCCTTGTAAAGAAAAAAACAAAAAAGAAGGGAGAGGAGGGAGGAGGAGAAATCCAATGGTCACTTCTCCCTATCACTGTATGGTCCCAGTCCAATAGGAACTGCTAGCTCCAACCAGGCTGCCAGAGGTCTGGAGTGCTGGGACAAAAGGCCAAAAATCATCTTTTTTCCATCTAGACAACATTTTAGGTGGAAAAAGAAGAACATATCCAGGGACACCCAGATGAGTAGTAGCCTTAACAATGCCAACTTTTCCGCTCCCAAAGTTGTTTACACCCACAAAATTAATCATGGAGCCAAACTGTGGGGAGAGTTGTGACTCCCTTAAATGTGTGGTCTTTATCAGAAAGGCCAAATGAAATCATTTTGAATTACTAGACACGTTAACAATGCCTAAGGGTGTCATATACAAATAGCTGACACCTCTAAACACTGACGCAATAAGGATGGACAAGAACATGAAGTGAGGGTGGTTGGGAGGAAAGGTCTTTTTTAGATGTATCCAAGGTAGAGCAAGTTTTATTATTGGGCTAGAAACATATAGTATCCCAGGAGTGAACAGCTCACACATTTGATCCGATCTTGGGCTCAGTCCAGCTCCCACTGAAGTTTAATGGGAGTTGGATCAGGCCATTGCACTCACATTTTTTCCATGCATGGAAAACTATTTCCGTTACTTTGAATTACAATACCACTGGCTTTGGATTTTATATAATAAAATAAATCTAGGCCACTGTTTATATTCCAAGAAACTGCATTCTGGGATGCCAGCAAATATATTGCCTGTTGGATTTAAAAAAATAAAATAAAAACTGGACACATTGGTTTAAAAAAACAACAGCTCCTAATTATTAAACATAATTTTTCTTCCTTGTGCTTTTCTGGAGTCCTCAAATATTTGAAGTATGAAAGGTACATATAAATTCTTCTCTGGTGGTTGAAATGGTGGAATCTGTAGAACTGCAATGCTTTATAAGAAACAGAGGTTTAATATAAAAATTATAATCTTCACAACTGGCTCTTTGCTTATTGGCATATTTTGTGCATTTTAAAATCTACAGAAAAAACCCTAACACCCTTGGAATGTCAGAAACAAAGGGGATGTATATTAGCAAACCCTTATATTTTGGGAACTGGCTTCTCTTGATTGTTCTGACTGCAAATGAACTCTGCAGATGCTGAGAGGCACAGGAAATGTCTTGTGCTAGAAAAAGCATTTGTTCCCTGCTTTATGAATTAGATTCTACTAAAATTCCAACGTGGTAAGACTGATTAGCAGACTTTGGTAATGCCTTCTGCCCTAGTACAATTTTATTATGCTCTTTTATTACCAAGGAAAAACACAGAAAATACTTCCATTGGTGAACATACGCCCACATTCTGGGAGCAAACGTTATCTGTGGTTACCTTATGCCAGGGAAGAGCATGGCCCCTGGACTCTGAAATACAGAGCAGCAAAGTAAGACACCTCACCAAAAGAATGAAATAAAAGCACACATATACACAAGCAACAGAGGGAAAGAAATGTCAATGAGGGGTGTTTAATGTTAAAGAGAAACTATACATCTGGGATGGTGGCGAGGAGGATTTAATAGAGCTGAACAAGGTGACCACCTGCATCCACTTCAAAGAGTGAAAAAACTGGCAGTGATGTGAGGAGTCATGTGCATGTGTGTGCATTCAATGCCTCTTTCTGCTGACAAAATACAAAGTATATTGCCTTTGCAAACATTCCTGGGCACTGGCAGCTTCTCCCCTACATTGACAAATTCAGTTTCAACATGGGATTAAAAGGAAAATAATTAAAAATCTCCCTCATGCACATAGCCATGTAGTCTGAGCTGGACTGGCTTGCCCTTGGCCCAGGCGGTACAGAAGACCTAGATGTTGGGTTCATACTGGTCAGCCACAGGTCACACCTTCCCTCCTAACAACAGCAGGTTGCAAACCTTCCTCCACCACAGTGTGGTCTGTGAAGCATCCAAGAATGGTTTACAGGATTTTAAGCTGTATTCTATGTCTTGAAAGGGGCCTTGCCTAACCTTCCCTCTCATGTGACAAAGCCCTCAGAGGGATCAAAAACTGGTTCTGAATTCTCCAGTGGGTTTAATGAAGTGGCAGGGTTTGAAACTCAGGTAACTAGGACTCACCCACATCTGGCAGTAATTTCAGATGTGCAGTAACTATGCAAAATGCTAAGACTTACTGATCGGAGCAGAAAGAACCCACCTTTCTCCTTCTTCCTGGCTTTGTTTCTGCAATGAAGCAGTGTGTGTGCGCTTGTGCGTAGGGGGGAGTTCATTTTCTCAGCACCTCCTCAGCCTCTTCACCCTGACTGAAACATCCACGAGGAGATGCACCTGCAGACAAACTCCCCAGCAGAACTGAAGGAATGGCATACCAGCTGGCCTGATGGGGGAAATTTCAAAACCAAAATGTCTCTTAAATAAGCTTCTTTAATTATTATCATCATCTGTTTATTTATACAAATATAAAATATATTTATATAGATTTATATAATATAGATTTGTTGCTTTGGTGGCTCCTTTCATTTACAGACATACTGGTCGACGATCTCTGTGCACTTTTTACACTTGACGTAACAGCACCAATGGAACTTGCAGTGGCAACGCTCCACCTGGACGCTCTTGAACTGGTCATAACCCCGTCCGCAGCACATCAGCTCACACCCATCCATGCCCTCCGAGGTCTTGTTGCACAGTCGGCCCTGGGTGCCCAGAGAACCAGTGGTCTCATTGCGCAGGCAATAGTCCGGGCTGGGGTCAACGTAGACCAGGTCCTCTTGCGTCGGCATGTTGAAGCGGTTGTTCACCAGCTCCAGCTTGCCCTTGCGGCTGATCCTCATGGCCGCGGCGCTGTCGTACTTCTCCTTCAGCAAGTCGCCCACCTTGCGGAAGTCAGCCAGCTGCAGCCAGCAGGTCTTGAGGCTGCAGGAGCCTGATACACCATGGCACTTGCAGGCCACGTCTGCCAGCTTGTACACGGCCTGTGGGAAAAGAAATGCAGTCAGGCAAAGCTGTGCCTATTCCTGCTGCACTGGCAGCTGGCTGAATTACAATGAAGTCATCACGTTTCCATAGCTGCTGTCATTATCCCCCAATTTCTGTTGTTTCGCCCTTCAGAGGAGACAAAAGTCTCCTCTTCCCCCTGCTGCAACTGCTGCGCTCCTATTCCCTAAATATTCCTATTTCTGGTCACGCTGCTTCCCAACATGACTCCTGCACCTTTTTTCCCCCGACTTAACAGCAGGGTCAGGAGAAGAAAAGAAGAGAAAGCTTTATCTCCACGTGGACTCTGGAAATTCTCCCACTCTCATAGAGTAAGAGTGGTGTTTATTGTGGCATTTATTTGGGGGTTTCCCTTCAGAGCTGGGAAAGGGGAACACCTGGGAAGCAGCCCATTTCCAACCACCGGCACCAGGAACCAACACTATACTCCAAGGGATACATCTGCATCTTTCCATGATAAATGCACGTCCCCACACCCTTTCCCTTCATCTCTGCTGAGAGGACCCCGTTCTGGGGCAGTGTCCCAGAGGCTGCTTTGCCGAGAGCGGCAAGCAGGGGCGGTGGTGCGGAAGACGAACACCTCTGTCCTGGAGCAGAGGCCGCACACCTCAGCTCCAGGGGGTGCTCACGGCGTCCACCTTGGCGGGCAGGCACACGTTGCGAACCTGCGCCATCTTGTGTCCACAGGCTTCCCTGCACCAGCAGCACTACCGCCACGCACAAGGGCCGACATCTCAAACAGCAAACGCCAAGATTTCGGTGCGGTCTTTCCCCACGTACTTTCAGCTATGTTTGTGGGCGTCTGAGGCGGCTGTGGATGCATCATATCCCTGAAAATCCGGCATCCGAATCAGCAAATAGGCGTGAAATGCTGGCAGCGAGCATTAAGCCCTCAGCAGAGCGAGCACACGATGTAAAGGAAAACGGTGGTTACTCTCCTCCTCACACTAGCTGGGAGGAGAGAGAAATATTGAAATATATTCTAGAATTACAAATCTCAGACCCTAGGAAAAGAAACCGAAATGGAGGCTCGGTTTGCTCTTTCCATTCATTCCAGAGACAGGTAAAAAAACTGTCAGCACCCACGGACGCTGACAAGAGTTTGCAAAGTGAAGAGTTGATGTCCCTGCACAATCACAGCTACAGCAGCTTAAGTGCCAGCCTTGCCATCAGGCTCACCTCCGCTCTCCCCTGACTATCATGCACATCCACAGGGCAGTGCCTCTGCCAGACTCCATGTGCCAAGCAGAGGTATCTGGCATCAGCTGAGGAATTTCCGCCAGCTGTTTCTGGTGGGTGACATCAAGGAACGTGAGAGAAGACTGGGATGCTCTGAGGGAGACAGCGATATTCCCTCCAGCCAGGTTTTCTGCTGAAGAAAGCAACCAGACACTGAGGGTTCTTTTCTTCCCCATGCACCAACTCAGAAGAAAGCTTCTCAGCTCTCTGCATTCACGTGCGAAGGAGTAGGTGATTAATGCAATTGAGCATACTGCAAGTGAAATCTTCTACCTATGACTACGTTCTGGACCAGCAGCGAGAGGTCAGAGTTCTCCTACAACAACTGGTTACTCCTGTGCCTAATGAACATCTAGTGGTTTTGACAGCTAGTGAAGATTCAATTTGGCTTAATGACTAAATCACATGGAGGCCAATCCAGCTCCTGAGAAAGTCAATGGAGTGAATCCTTAAAACAGAGAAGCTTTAGTTCTGCTCCTTGGAGCTCAATTTACTGAGGCAATCCCTCACAGTGCAATGTAACAGCTACAGGCTGGGAGTTAAGCACTTGTCTTGGATCAAACTACAACTGCAGAGGACCAACCACACTGTTACTTAAGGATTCCTGCTGTACTGTAACCAGACAGAGCTACAGCTGAATTTCCCAAGCCCCAGACACTTACTATATCCTCACTGCACTGCCAGCCTGCTTGTTTTAAGTTTGTGTTAGCACTTTTTGGTTACGGTTCTGTCAAATCCCAGGCCACTCGTGCCTCCCTTGCCCTTGCATGTGTTTTCATAAAGTATTACAATTCTTCCTAATCCTGGGCTTTGTTCCTTTAGAAAAACACTGCAACTTGATCCCCCTCAGTTAATGTCATGGGACTGAGTTCACTCTGACTTGGCTTTAAGCAACTGATGCTCAAAACATCTGGCCCATGTGGGTAGTAGCAGTGCTGGGGAATGCAAACGCTACCAGTCATTGCAGGTGAGCATGGCGCCACTCAGCCCCCTGCAGCTCCCACCATCAATGTCCCGTGGAGGTAACCATAGCTTCAGCTGCTAAATGGCTCTCCCACTCTCCCCCTTTGCTGCCCAAATGGGGAGAAAGCAGAGGAGACTGGAGAATTCCTCTCTGACCGGGCGCAGGTCAAGGTAAAGAATAACAGACCTCACATGCAATTCTGAGGGCAGGGTCTGATCAATAGCCATGCCACTTAAACAGGTTGAAAATGCCTCTAATGGAAAGGCTTAAAGGCCCTTCCCATAAGCCCAAGTTCTTTTCCAATTCTTTTCTTTCAATAATGGGAATGGGAAGAGAATTAATGGGGAATTCCTATGTGGTCAATTAGCCAGACCCCCTTCCAGGCTCTTCTGGCACTGGCTTGAGTGACTGATGACTGAGGCCTGCCATATGCTGACTGGGTAAACAGCGTACAACGACTGACCGCCACAGTCTGCCAGACAGGGTGACAGATAAGGAATGGGGGGAAATAAGAGAGTGTAATGGAGACCAATTGGAAGAAAAAGACAGATGGAAGGAAAGGATGCACTGAGATAACAGCCAAAGACAAACAAACACAGGCAATAAAGCCAGGAGGCACCACAACAAGGATTCCGTCGCGGAGTGAAGAGGTGATGGGGTCAGAACTGCCTGAAAGATAAAAGACCTCTGATCCCCTCCTGCTCCTCTCTCAGCTCCTTCTGAGAACCATGGAGAGAAGGAACAATCTTCTCTCTTGCCATCAGAGCTCCTCAGGGTTCAAGGAGGACTTTCTCACCCACAGGAAACTGAGTGAGGGGACACACCAAAAGTCTTCCTAAAAATCAGAAGACATCAACTGAAACACTAGCTGGGAAAGTGAGGGAAGGCTGTACATGGGTTGGCACCTGGTGGTCATGTAGCAGTGCTCACTGCCATGTCTCCAGCACTCCCTTCTTTCAGCACTGACTTGCGGGAGTATGGAGTTACAAGTGCACCTTCCTACTTCCAAAACCAGAATCTCAGAAGTTTAGGAATGCAGGACCAGACGGGACTTCCTTGGTTTTTAAGTATGATCTCTTGCTGTTGTAGGCACTGCTTCAAATAATATTTTCCTTAAATGTACGGAGTGCCCTTTTAAAAGCAATTAGGTTTTCAGCCACCATCATTCTGATCACTATTCCAATGATAAAGTATCTTTTTCTAATTCCCAGCCTAAACGTATTCACTTTATGCCCGTTTGCTATTGTGCCAAATTGGCCTTTTGCTTAAAAAGTACTTTTCCTTCCCTATTATTTCTCCCGCAACACAGACATCAGTCATATCCTCTCTCAACTTTCACTTTGCTAGGCTAAACATGGCAAGCTATTCCAACCCACTTTCTTAAGAAAAGATTCGTATCCCCTGAGTCCATCATAATAAGCCTTTTCTAGTCTGAGGTCATTTTGCTCGGGAATATGAGAACATACAATATTTTGGGGCCTCACAAGAGCTGAATACAATGGCATTAGTATTCCCCCATTGTTTCCTAAAAATACTTTCCCTAGTACATTACAGGGTATTTACCACCTTCTGAGCCACATTACATCTGCAGTCATCTGCAGTGGACTGCTGCGACCCATTCTTTTCAATTCATTTCCTAATGACTAAAAACGTTTTACATACAAGACCTCAAATGATGGTCTTCATGTTGTTTTATTGGATGTCATTAGCTGCTGTACAAAATTTGCATTTTTCTCTGTATTTGTAATATCTGGCACTTTTGCATCATCAGGAAATTTCCTCAGCCCATTCCAATTCTTGTGTTGAGGCTGTGAAATAAAAATACCAAGTGTTGATCTTGAGGTAAGTCCTTGAAGACTTGCTAATTAAGCTCTGTTAAGAATCAAGGTACGTCTTTTCACACAACTTTCTGACATCTTTCCTTGAACCAGTTTCTTGTCTGTCTCATAGCTGCTGTATCTTTCCTTATCTTTCCCAATGTAACCAAGCGTTTCCCACATGGAAATACATTAAATGTCTCACAGAAGTGCTTATAAATGAGATCTAATAGATCTAGTTTGGTTTTTAGGAGATCAGTTATGTTGCAAGTGATTGTGTGATCAATCTTTGAGGAATCCTTCACAAATTACTTCACATTTTGCCTCTTCCTCCAAGATATCTTTTCCCCGAGGTCCTCCTGTAAGTTCTGCTGAGGTCACTCTGCCTGTGCTGCCAGGTGCCAGCTCTTTCAGAGTGACATGCAAGAAAGCTGGCACTCCCTGTGCCCACTTCAGAGCTTTATGCAACCTGAGTTTTGCTTCCAGCTAGGTGGTGATAATTTATATTTCCATTTCTAAGAGCCAAGAGGAAAGACTACCCTGTACTGTCTAAATGCCATCCTGACCAGACAACCCTGGAACCCATAACAACGCCATCTCAGAGCCATCAGGATTCTCCTATCCAGATCCTTACATGTTCATCTCCTTTCCCAGCATCTCCATTCCTCACTACCCCCAAATCCTCATCCACTCAGTCCACCCTAAAGCCCAGCCTCGTTTACTCCAGAGCTCTGTTCTTCCAACCCTTTGCTGCCACCTGATTCCCAATTGAATCATTTGACCCGACCACAAACTCCCCTCCATCATCAGCCCCCTGCACCATCTGACCCACCTCAGGTCTGCAGGCCCCAACCTTCTGTACTTGCTGCTCAGCTCCTCTTCCTCTACCTGTCTGAACATGACAGCTACCTCCTCTTACCTTCCTCACTCCCACAGGGTGCCAGCACCATTAACTACTACTGTCTCCTGTGATAGACCGTGCCTGGCTTGCCCCAGAAGAAATCTGTGGAGGACTTAAAAATCTACACTTACAAGCACTTATTCACCCAGGCAAAAGTACTGAGGACAGAAAAGACATCCCCATTGTGTAGCAGACATATGGTACCCCTCCCCACGAGCAAAGCCCCCTATTCCAACTTGAAGCCGCAGGTAAAGCACTTACTTATTTTGGGGCTCAAAACTACTTTGTCCTTGGAGTCTGCCCCATCCTCATTCACTAGCAGTCTCCCTTCTTCCAATTTCCAATTTGCAAAGTTTAAAAACTTTCCCTGTTTATTTTACTACCTTTTGCAAGGTCTGACTCAGCGTGATTTTTTTACTGTTCTCACTTCATCTTTATACTTCTTGACCTCTAAAAGCTTTTTCATTATTTATTTGCTATCAGTTCTTTTTCTTTTTTTTTTTCCATTTTTAGTAGGCTTTCAGTCTGTTCCTAACAGCTTCTCTGTGGTAGTTATTCACACAGTGAGGTCTGGATATTCTTCCTACAAGGTTTTTCCTCTTGCTTGGCATGAAGAATTGTAATGGCTTTAGCATCTTTGACTTGAAAATGTTCCAGACTTCCTCCACATCAATTTCCCCATCTGAGTTTACTAACCAGCTCCCTTAGTTTATCGGAGTTTGTTCTTTGAAATCCATAAGCTTAATTACACACTGGTTTATACTTCCATTTAATTTAATCTAAAATGACTTGTGTTCATTTAATCTAAGGTTATTTTCTACAGCCATCTGTTCTACAGAGTCTACGAAAACCAAACTTGAAATAACATTGTCTTTTGCTGGCGCCTTTGGAAAGCCTTTGTCCAGGTCCAGTTTGTGCATTCACTGGAAACAGAAATCGCCTTGAGAGCTTGTCTATGGAGTCCAAAGCAGCACAGGCTCTGTACCCTTCCAAGCACAATTTAAACAACTTCCTGCACTGTAGTAAAGGCAGGACACAGCTGGGTTTAGCTCTGACCTTAAACAGAGCAAAGCTTTCTTCCATCTAAACCAGCGTCATCATCCGAAATCACGGCTTAGTGATATTCTTATTCTTGCCCACATAACAAGAATAACAAGACAGGGTAGTGTTTCACCCAAGCTGTGGAGCAAGTATCTTCAGACTTGATCTTTTAATACAGATGTTACTACAGTTCAACTGGCGCCTCGAACTATTGGCCATATTCTGTCTCTGGATCCCTCAAGGCAATAGGACTGCCTGTAAAACATCCCATAACATATTCACTCCCTATTTTAGACAGGGTATTTATTTGTAGTAATCCAAGTTCAGGACTCCAGACATATAAGACGTTCAAAGCATGTAATGCAGAGAAGAATGTCACTTTCAGGCTACTACTCCATGGAGGAATGTCCCCCCATTTCTAAGGAAATGCAGACTCTCTGCCCTTCCAAGACAAAAAAAAAAATAAATAAATAAACCCTCAAACCAAAACCCACTGAGTTCTACAGCTTTCAGTTGCGCTGTTTTCCACCTACTGCAAATTTACTGCACTTGATTTTACAAAAGAAGCGTAGAGTATTTGTAATGCTTCAACCTGACACATTGATTCCACAATCAAAAAAATAGAGCAAATCTTCCTTGGTGGCAAAATGAAGCCAAAATTACATGTGTAAAACACAGACACACATGGGAAAGACAGTAACAATTAGAAGTAAGAAAGGGAAGTACCCTCAGGAAACTGAGGATATTAGTTAAGAATGTGCAAAAGAGTGAGTCTAGGTACACTTAATAAGATTTTTTAACATGCACTAGAAATGAAATTAACCTCAGAGAAGCTCACTACCAGGGAAGACTGATAAAAATCTTAAACACGCTGTGAAAAGACACAACTGTTCAAGTAAGTATTCCTGTTCTACATTTGGAAAGAGGCAGGACTACATACTTGTAACGCAGACAAATGATGCTATACCTTCTAGGCTATTAATCACAAACAGAGTAATTATGTAAACAAATGTGCATACACTGGACACAAACAAAGGGGGCAACTTCACCTAAGTTTACAGTATCAGTGTAGAATACCAGAACCCTGCATGTCATTTTGGTATCCAGTTTCTTAAAGGATATGGGAAAACTGGTAAGGGTATGCTAAAGTATTGTGAAAATGATTTGATGGCTGATGAGAATCTCTGAAAGTGAGAGAGTCTTCAGTGCTCAATCTAGTTTGTCAAGAAAAGTGGTGAATAAATTACAGTAGATAAATACTTCTATGTAGAGGACATTCTGATTACTAAGAGGCTTTTGGATCTAGCTGTGAAAGTCAGAAAAAGAGCTGATTGGAAGCTGATGCCAGATAAATTCAAATGATAATGAGGTAGTGTCGAAACAGGGTGATTAATGATGGTAGCATACTACAAAGGAAGTGATGGATTCTCCATTCCTAGGGGTCTCCAGATCAAAACTATGTTATCTTCTCAGAAAATATCACCTAGAATCAGATTACTTATTTTGCCCAGTACCAAGGTAAATGAGCAAGGTGTTAAGTTTCAGAGATACTTATACCAGGCAGTCTGATTCGATGTTTGCTTCTGGTCTTATATTCCAAAACTCTGAATGATAGCAGTAGAAGAGAACTCCACATGCCAACAGATTCTCCTTTTCAACACCAGCCTGTTCTTTTGGAAGGTCTGGAAAGCCAGTTTCTGAAATGTAAACCTTGAAAGTGGGCCATGACAGCACCTAGTTTATTTGGAAACAGCTTACATGTCTGCATTTGCATGCCATACACCATCTCATTTGGCTTTAGCTGGCAACAGAAGCCTGCCACTAAAATGGGAATCTAGTATCGTCAATATTGCCTGTAATATTCACGGAAATGCAACAAATGTGACCATACACCATTACTGGGGTATCACTGGACAATCTTCATCAACCCTGAAAGTAATTTCAAGCTATCTGAAGCCTTCTGAATCTGCCGCTGAGAAGAGGAAAGTGTCAGCACTGGTCTTACCCTGCGACCAGCTTCGTTGTTCTGCAAGTTCATCAGCATGCGAGCCTGTTCCTCTGAACCTCTCACGTAGTTCTTCTCCCTCTCCTTGGCATCCACAAACTCCTTGGCAAAACGATATCCATACTCCACGTTATCCCCGCAGCCACCCCACAGCCAGTCTCGGGGCAAGTCCTTGGGCCGGGCCGTCCGGCTGCAGCCACAGCTGGAGAGCTCTCCTTCACGGCAAGCCCGGCTGATGGCGTTCACCACACCGGCAGCACTGACGGCATACGTGAAAGCAGTCTCTCGGCTACCTGCAAGAGAGACACGAGAAGCAAATTAAGAAGAGACAGATCTCATTTAACAAACAATACACAGCAAGGAGCAAGCACCCTGTTCTGGCAGAGGGGGAACGGTCCTAAGACATGCTTGCATCCCATTTTTGTTTTCATTTCATAGTAACAGTTCCAGTCAACTGACTGCCCAGAACTGGCAGTTTCTATGTAACCACAGTCAAACCCAAATCTGATTCTCTGACACACACCAGGGAAGGGTCTGAGAGTCCTCCTGTTGCCTGGAGGAATGCTCTTGGGAAGAGCATGTTCTTCATGAATTTTTAGGTCCTATTCCTCAAGGGCTGTTTTTATTACACCTATGTTTGCCTGTTTAAAAGCCCTGGAAACTCCAGAAACACCAACACCATAGGCAGGAACTGTGCAGTCTCTTTTCCCTTCAGTATCTTCTCGTTTTAACGTAGAGGAAACTCTCAAGCAAGAGGGTTATTCACTTGCTGAAAATATAGCTGCTACCTAAGCCACTGCAAACAACTGATGAGGTTGGGTCTGTGCAAATAAGCATTCTGGTCAAGCCAGATATCACTCGGGAATGATCTTCATTTAACTGCAACAAGCACTCTTTATGGGCTGCTCAGCTCATCGACCTTATTTTAGTTTACATGAGGTCAGCTGAGAACTGTTTTAAGACAAACTGAAGGAAACCCGTTTTTACACTAAAGCTTTGAGGCAGAGGCTCTTCCAACGCCTACAGAGCTGCAGTGCTGGAACAAGTAAAATTTCCCATGTAGACAATAATAAATGAAAAGACTTTCCATTAGCACGTTTACTAGAGACTGCCCTGCTTGGAGCATATGCTCTATACAGCTCAGAGTGCAAGCCAAGCAGCTGGATCAGGTCTCTAGCTATGTATTCCTGGCCATGATTCAGCCCCAGTTTGACCGGGGCACCAACACAGCCAGCACTGCATGAGGCCAAGCGTGCTGCACCAGCGAGTGCAGTGGGTCTGAATGGGGTGAGTAGAGGGGGGTGAGGAGGAGAAGGAGGCAATCCACACCTGCATTATCACCACACAGTGTAACAGATAGCTAAACTGACAGCTTCAGAGTCATTGCGTGCATCACCAAACTTTCAGGCGACAAAGCTTCACTGGAATAAGCAAATCTGATTGTGAAGAGCTACTTACAAGCCCTAGTAAGATGCTCTCAAGCAAATCTGAATGACTTCAGAGGGCAGATTCTCCAAGAACAGTTTGTCACCAGCCCACGAGTCTCTCAGTGCCAGCTCCCTCAGCAGGACTAAGCTGATGCTTTTGGTATGCTCTTGTTCCAATTTGCATGTGCTGACAATCTGTAATTAATAGCAGCTTATCACCAGCTTAGTGGTAATGACCCAAGACAAAGGCAAGGCTGTGAATGGCATCCACGTTGCAGAACAACTTGTGATTCCCCCCCCCCCCCCCCTTCAATGAAGGGCTTCTGCTATGGAGCACAGCACAAAGCTGATAAAATGCTACAGGATTTTATACATAATACAGAAGGGAAGGCCTTACTAGTAGGTCATTAGGAGAGGAGTGTGCCCTCCAAACCTCCTTAGTCCGGGAGGTAAAAAAGAGTGACTCCTAGTTAAGGTAATTCAGCTGAGACTGGCCCATAAGGGAGTTAAGGTCTTTTTTTCAGCAACCAGAATAAAGCTTTTACTCATCTGTTTTGTTCTGCATGCTATAGGTATTTTAAGGTAACAGTCCAATGGGCAGGTTTTGCCCCTACCAGTCTGTGGCTGTATGGTGAGAGCCCCATGGACACACCAATCATCCTGTTAAGCACAGCACTCTCTGCATCTGTACAGGTTAAAATACATCCAATGAGGGGACCTCCCGGTGTTACAGCTGGTGCAACAGAGCCTGCATGACTCCAGGTGCTTAGGATCCTTACGGCTTAATTGAGACCCCTGCAAGCACAGACTGGTTTACGCTTTTACTGTCCATGTTTTAACCATCTCCACGTTTCAGATTTAGCAAAACAACAACTCAATATGCAGCCCCTGGATCTGCACGAGTTCTTTAAGTTGCTGAGGATGGTGATAGGAGAGGCTGAAAGAAGTTTCAGTGTTGTTTTTTTGTTGTTTTTTTTTTTTTTTTTTCCCCTTGTTGCCCACAAAGCAGAACAAACCACAGCGCTCATCAGATGTAGGTTTGGAAAACTGCAGCTTGGTTTGGGGGGCAGGATCGACCGTGCATGAAACCTTGTGCTTAATACAAAGCAAATTTGTAGCTAGCAGCTGTGGGCTTGCACATCCCAGTTTTCTCTGCTCTTCTGCCAGCTTTGTAAAAGTATTTGGGTTTTCACTCATCATCTCAAAGTTCACTCCAGTTCCACACCTCTGCGCTGTCAACTCAAAGGACAACCCCCTTTCTGCCCTCTCCCACACCTCTCCCAAGCCAAAGGCTGGGGTGACCCCGAAGCTGGGGGCCGCGGGAGGCTCAGCTCTGCCTGCTGGTGTGGAGCTCCACGGAGCTCTGCTGCCCTCCTCAGCCTGCCGGCCACCAGCACTGCCCGCAGCACAAGGGGGGAGCGCGGGGCTGTGGCAGCTTCGGGGGACACCATTGCGGGTACCAGTGTGAGCAATACCCAGGCGAGATGCTGGTCCCCGCAGCTTGCTTTTCTGGAGCTGCTTGAGAAGGAAATGCGAGAACAGACCCCAGCTGGGAGACTGACACAAAGATGATAAAAATGTGTCACTTTTTTTTATGAAAAACTTTTAGTTTCAACTGATTTCTTTTTTTTTTAAAAAAAAAGAAAAATCATTCCCCAAGGTTTGCCTATCTCAAATAAAAAAGAAAAAATATTCAAATATTCCTCTTTGTTCTTTTATGACTCCATCTTTTTTTTTTTCCTTTTTGCATTTGAAAAGGCAGAAGAGATAAAATCTCTGGCTGCAGAAATGACTGGACTAACCTGGAAACCCCAGCCTTGCATTTAGGGTTGCGCTGAAGGAGGTATATTTTCTCCTCCCCTGAGGAAATTCTAACACGACCTTTTTGGGTGCTCCATCCTCTCCCTCATAAATGTAGCAGTAAGGAATATGTCTGTTTATAATGCACAGATACACATATACACACACATGCAGTCTAAAATCTGTATTGACAGAACAAGAAGCAACTTCAGAAGGGTAATTTTTGTACATTGCCAGATATCATCAGTGAATAAACCACATTGAAAAGGTAAGAGCAATTCTCATGACCACACAAACACTAGGAAAGACCAATGCTAAAAAGCAGCCTACTTCAGTGCTGCTGATGCCTCTGCACAAGCTTTGTGTCACTGGACTGCCTCACCTCTATGAAATGCACAAAATGAAGGTGTAATGATTAAACACAGACCGACCATAGGCCTCCCATTTTTCCGAGCTGAGCTAAGTTCTACAAAGGGGAAAGGGTTTCCGAGTGCACACTCTTGTGAGCATCTCCCAGGCTCTGGACTTGGCCAGGACAGGTTCTCCTCCCTCTCACAATCTAAAGCAGCTCAAGAAATCATGTAATATATGCCATGCCTGCTTCGGTGGGTGGGCAGCCGAAGGTTGTTGGCACACTATACACCTTCTGGGTCCTTCTTATCTCTTTTCCCCCCCCACTCTCCACAACACTCTGGCATGCCTCTGCACTCTTGTAGATATTCTGGTCTCCAGACCTTCCTCGTGCCATTGGCACAGAGTACAGAAAAAGGGCTGTGGTCCAGAACTGGAGCTCAGAAGTTGAAAACAGGAGACGGGCACACAGTATGAACCCAGGGAAGAATGACTTTATAGCTGACACAACCTGAGAGACTGGAAGGCTTTGTCCTTTTACCAGCATGGAAAAGAAATCTCCTGAAATGATGAGCAACGCCTCATTACAAAGTAGGAAAAAGTAATAACGGAAGGTGGAACAAAGAGGAAAGAGGCAGCATGCCCCTCCACAAGAGCTTATCACTGATGGGGACAACAGCGGTGAATCATCATAGTCCCCGTAATACCCTAGGCCACGTTTGGTTATATTTTTCTTACTTCTGTTCTGTCTTGTACTGGAGTATCAGCATCTGAACATGCTCTAACTGACCAGAGAATCTAAAGGAGATGGGTTCAGAACTCTTTGTCAGAGTATGTTTTCAACAGCAGGCAACCACAGGCAGTCACCTCACAGACACTTCCATCAGCAGATTCCTACCAGAGATACAACAGTATTATTATTCCTAATGAACAAAATGCATGCATGAACAAACAAAACAGCAGCAGCAGGACTGCTGGATGTACCATCACGTACCCATAACAGCTCCTTCCTCATCAAAACCCAAATCTAAACTCTCAATCTAAACTAACAGGATCAAATTAACTTCAGAGAGGAAGAATCTTCCTTCTTCCACTATTCACTCTAATCCTTCTTCCCATACACCCTCTGATGCTTCCTGATGGCTTTTCATTCTTCAGCTCTGGTCTTTGCTTTCTCTTAGTTCACGCTTATTTCTTTTGTCCAGGCGCGGACCAACCTGGAGCTGCAGGAAGGTTGTGAAGAAGAGGATGAAGTTTGCTGGAGAACGGGATATTTCTATTTCATTCTGGAGTCACTAGGATCATTGTGGAGACCTGAAATTTATCCCATTCTTTGGCATAACTTACATGTGAGAGAGGGATGCCAGAAGCAAAAGGTGGAGGTGGCCGAAATTGTAATTTTCATACCCCAAAGCACAAGTTTTAACAGTATGGGATTGCAAGCAGCCTCATCTGGCCACCACCCCTGCTATCACAAAGGGATCAAGGATGCACAGCTGCCTTGGATCTGTATCAGGAGCTGAACGTATGTGTCAGGAAACAGCATTTCCCAGGGGAGTATCCCAGAGAAGCAGGGATTTGTTGGGGTATGGGCTGGACAGAAAGGGAGGAATCAGAATGGCTCTAGTGGGCTGAATTAGGAATTCTGAAAGGTTAAGTAACACATGCAGAAATATCCCTTACAGTACTCTAGGATCACACATAGGAATTTCAGGATCAAATGGAAAGGATCATGGGACGTGGTTACCTTGGTGTCCTATCACCTTGATGCCCCAGAGGTATTAAAGCTGTTACCTCCTGGGGTTTTTTTGAGAGTGAAACCAAAAAGGTGCAAGTAATGCTGGGGGCAGCTGAGGGTGCAGGAGCTGCTAAGTGTTTTCCCCGACCTCACAACCAAGAAATAGTGCCTGTTCTTCAGTGTAAATGACTGGCTTTGCGTGTGGGAAACAAAAACTCTTCACATAGGACCTGAAGAGAGAGCAAGCTTGTGTGTGTGTGTGCTTGTGTGAGTGGCTGTTTTAACACCTTTTCTTTATTGTCCTGCCTGTCGGACACATCAAACCAAGCCCGGATTTCTCAGTTTCTTGCCATCAGATGATTGCATTTCAAAAGGAGCTGGGACAATGCAGCTAGGTCACACCTCAATTCAAGTGCAGCAATGGCCTGTCAATGCGCCTCTTTCGGCCAGCAGGGCAGGAATTATAAAAAATCTCTGGGGTTTACACAGACAGTGGCAGGACAGGGGAGAGGGGGGGAGACCCCACGCCAGAGGAGCCCGTATTTCCCACATCTCAGGGCTGCATTCCCTGTCTGAGGGCACTCCAGATGCTGGGAAATGATAACATGGGTCCATTGTTCCTGGCTCCAGCTTCTTCCCTCCCTACCTTTAAACGAGCACACAACACAAAAGCAGCCTCCCTCTTCCTGACCTCCCCATGCCCCCCCCCCCCCCCCCCCAAAGAAAGTGTGTGTGTCCCCTGCTTCTCCAGCTAGCTCCTGCTGGGCTCAGGTGCACTGCTGCCACCTGCCCAGGCGCAGGCAGCACCAGCACACCAGGGAATGTAGAACCTCCTTAAAGGCAGCTTTAGGAGCGGTGTTAACGGGGCTCATCACTCCTGCATGTGTATTTGAAAAAAGGCAGAACGCTATAGAGGGACAAACCGTCCTGCGCCCCGTACCGGGTGCTCCTACCTATTTTCATGACCCGTCCGAAGACGGAGGTGTTGTCCACCGTGCTGCAGTTCCACCGCCGCTGCCGAAACTGGTACTGGCACTCTTTGATGGCGCTGCGGGCCCCCTCCCCGATGAACACCATGTGCTCCTGGTAGAGCTGGCAGAGCTTGCGCTGCCCAGGAGAGAGCCCCGGCAGCTGGCTGCACACCGGCTGCGCACCGATGATGTACATCTCAGGTCTCTGAATAGGGTTCATGGCCAAAGACCTGCGATGAGAAAAACATCCAAGGGACTCTGTCTGGAGGGAGAGGCCCCCTCCGCGGAACGCCCGGCACCTTTCCCCGCCAGCCAAGCCCCGCTCCGCTCCCAAAGCCCCGGCGCATTTCTCATGTCAGCTGCCTCCCGCTACAGCTCTGCCAGATGCGAGGCTTTTCCAGAGCTCCAGCGGGAGAAACACAGCTCGTTTGTAACCTGAGTTTAAACACAGAGGACACCCGGGATGGGGAGGGGGGCAGAGAGAAAGCTCAGCACTTTCTCTGCAGGAGAAGAAAGTGAGCTGCTGCTTTTTCACAGACCGCCAGCCAGCGATGCCTGCCTTTCAGCTAGGCTATTTTCCGCTCTTCAGAAGGGGGCTCCGCGGCTGCTCCCGGGGCTTTTGGCAGCGGGTAGGAAATCTTACCCACCCTCTCCTTACGCATTCCCCACATCCTGAAGCCCGGACGGGATCTCAGCGAACCCGTACAAAAGGAGCCCAGAAGTGCCTGGAAGAGAAGGGCTGCGTCCCCAGGAACTGGGCAGGGACAGTGGGAGGGGGGAACCTGGATAGAAGTGAGCTGCTGCGAAAGAAGCCCTGCGGGCAGGGAAGCTAGTTCCCGCGGGGAGCGCACGGCAACTCCCGCTCCCGTTCCGCCGCCCGGCCCCGGGCAGTCCTCGTTCCGCAGCGGCGGACAAACGCGCTGAGGTCTGCCCCGCGCCCTCACTTACCACCAGGAGTTGGCGTCGGCCACCGGCGAGGTGCAGCTGCAGAGGAGCGCGGCGGCGAGGGCCAGCCTCGGCCCGGTCATGGTGGGCAGCCCCCGCAGAGCCGGCCGCCGGGACGGGGCGCCCTGTGGAGAAGCGCCGAAGAGAAGCCCTGGAGCGGGGCCTGCGTGCGGCGGGACGCGGCGAGCACAGCCCGGCGGCCGCCCCCTCCCGCCCCCCGCAGGACCCTCCCTCTCTCCCCCGGCCACCGCCTCCCGGGGGCTCCGGCCCCGGCCCTGCCTCCCGCCCGCCCTCGGCCACGGGGTAGGGGCCTCGCTGCCGGGACTGCGCCGCCACTGACGGAGCCTTCCCGTCCCGTCCCGGGGCAGACAGCCGTGTGAGACAGGGGCACCGGGAGCTTCGGGGCCAGGGGAGGCGCAGCGCGCCCGCAGTCCGCCGGTGTCCCCACGAACCGGACCGTGCCGTGAGCCCCGCGGCCGCAGGTGTGCGGGGAGCCGGCAGGGCACATCAAAGCGGCGCGCTGGCCCCGCTGCCCGCCTTTGTAATGCAGGACCGGCTCGGAAATGGGCTGCCCCCTCCCCAAAACGGCCTCCAGAGGGGCCCCACGGCATGGTTCCGGCCCCGCGGCCCGGGCAGGGGGTCTGCGAGGCGCGGCTGGGCTGCAGGCGGCGAGCGCAGATAGCCTGGCACCAGAGACTAATAGTTTTATGGGCAGGGGAGGCGGACAGGAGTAAAAGCTTCGAAGGCTCCTCTTGTCCAAACACCCCTCTCTCCTTTCCCCGCTCGACCCACCGGGATCCTCAAAGGCGGGGGCAATCTGGCAGTTCCTCAGTCCTTTCCCCCCCACCCCAGACACCGGCAGAAGGCAAACGCAGGCATCCCGGACCTGTGCGGGTACTTGTACCAAACACTCCTCGCAGCCTGCCTCCTTCATAGCCACCTCATCGCACCTTTGACTCCACTGCTGCTGCCTGCATCTCTAACACAGCTTTCCATTGTTCTGTCCTCTGCACACCACAGTCCCCACCTCTTCACCACAGACAACACCTTCTCTCCCACACAGCCTCCCCGCCGGGCCTGGCATCCCCCCAACCCTGCCTCTGTGGTGGCGGCAGCTCCCCAAACACAGGCTGAATGTGCGGGTCCCCCCCAGGTTGTGGCCACGGTGTATGTGGTCCAAGACTCGCAAGTACCCAGTCTTTCACTCTGCCTCAGGAGCAAAGAGCACCCAAGGCATGAATCACCAGGCTCAGCACCTCTAACCACTGAAGTATAGTATATTTTTTATGGAATTCCTCGCACCCGCCACGGTGGACTTGCTGTGTTTGTTTGCAGCACGCTTTGCTTCCACCCCCATCCAGATGTGCTGTACCTGCAGCTGGTGGCCCATCTCACCTGGCAGGCAGATGTGGGGCTGCAAGTGCCAGAATTAGCCTCAGGACAAAAAAGCCTTGTGTGACCCAGAACCTCGGTGGGAGGGGGGTTTTACTGCTTGGGCACAGCAGGATCCACGTCTGAAGAAAATAGGGTGACTTTATTCACATCTATATCCTCCCTTCTCCTCCTTCCACAGCCCTGAGCGTGATGGAGGGACAGCGAGGTGTGTGTGTGTGTGTAGCCACGCATACATGTTTTGTGTCTGTTTCTGTAGGGAATAGACAGAATGGAAAGTTTATCTCCCAGAGTCTGGGGAGGAAGGAAGTTGTGTATGGATGAATGGCTTTTCCATGACAAACAATGAGTCTGCACAGACATGGTGTGATGTCACCTAAAGAATTTCCAAGCCAGCCCCAGATACAGAAAACCTTCTCACTGGCAGAGATGAGAGCATCCTACCTTTCCATCTCAGCCAGAAGGAAGAACTAGGGTGGTGGAAAGAAAAGCTCTCACTGTCTCACACACACATGCGTCATTTTAATAGATGACACGATGGGAGAGATGTATCTCCAAGCTTCACCCTCGCTGAGCCTCCTCATGGATTCTGAGAAGGGAGTAAAGTGTGGTGAGCCGCCCTTGGTGCCTCTCCCAGCCAGGAATGTGAGACAGCACCAGCCTATGAGACACTTCCACAAATACAGGTGATGTCAATGTCCGTGTTCGTGTGAGCTTCTCAGAGCGCATGTGCACAACTCCACAGGGTGAGGAGGACATGCCACTGGTGGACTGGTGGTCCATGTCAGCACTGGGATGTGACTGAAACAAAAATCTTTCCAACAGGCACAACCAAGGCAATGATCTTAGTATGAAACATGAGACATAAAAATTGCCTTATGGGATAAGATCGCTTATCCAGCCAACCTAATATCCTGTCACAGGCAACAATGAAAGGAGATGCTTTGGCAGGAAAGGTCTGAGGCTCTGAATTCGGCCTAAATTCTGCTGCTGGCGAGAGTGACTGCCATTGAGTTAGATGCAAATCATGGAAGTGAGTCCTTTTTAAGGAGCTGGAAATAATTTCTTCACTGCCTGTGTTTATGACTTCAGATAAAGTGGTAATAGCAGGTGAGGTGCTGTTGGAGGGATTTAGCTCAGCCAGCAACTTCCAGACCAAAAGCTGCACAACACTTGGCTGGCGGTCTGAAGAATAGTGCCTATCACTGTTCCTTGTGCCTGTTTCTACTTGCCACCTAAATCTTGAAAGCGAGCTTTCCATGTTGTAAATAAAAAGCTTGGGTTATTTTTTAAGCCCAACTGCAGAGCTGGTTCAAGCAGCTCTGGTGAGGCTGTTTGCCAAAGCTGGGCTGGGTGGGAGAAGTCCAGATGAGAGGTGAGGTGAAGCGGGGCTGCTGGTGGGCTGGGATGAATGGAGTCAGTGAAGCATCACTTAAGAGAGGGGGGTAAGGAGCTGCTGGTGGGTAATCCCAGATGAACGACTGAGATGCTGGAAGGGTCATGAGGGCTTAGGGTTTCAGGGGAAGGAGGCTAGAAGTGAGCAGGATTTTGGGATGGCTCCACACAAGTGACATGAAAAGGATCACTACACTAACAGGTATTGAGAAGGCATTGGATAAAGCTGGTCTCACTTGCCTTTCTGTCCCCTGGTAACCCCTGTCTCAGATCCAGGAGAGCCCAACCTCATGCCTGGCAGATCACTTCTCTTGGACATCATCCCTGTTCACTCACCATCACCCAAGTGACTCCCACTTTCATCCCAAACCAACCCTCCCCTGCAGCAGCCCACTCACACCAAATCAGAGCACTCCTGATAGAGCAGGGGAAGAAGGGGCAATAGAAAGAACTCCAAAACCAGGGTCTGCCTTGCTTCTGCTGAAGAAGGCCCCATTCCACCCCTTTCAACAGGCCTGGCTCACTCAGAGAGCCACTCTGTGGCTCGAGCACTGCAGGTCTGATGCTTGTACCCAGATTGCTGAGGATCACCTGGGACAAAGAGGGAGCTGTAATCTGAAAATGGGACATTAATCTCAACCCTCAGATGAAAGGTCTAACGCTGGCTTCTTAGCAGCAAGCCTGCATCTTTGTAAAGCCTTGGCATTCTGCTGCATTCAACAGTCTGCTGCCCTAGGCAACTGTCTACTGTGTTGGCTGGCTGCCTAACATTACTACCTGTGTTTGCCTTTGTTTGCTTTTCAGAAGGGACAACTGTGCACTAAGCACAACTTTACACACTGAGTTTCCAAAGCCCTGGCAGAGCAGCCAGAGAGTTATCGCTGCCTTCCCAATGCCGTCCCTGCAGTGCTTGCTGGAGGGAAGTGCAAGACTCCAAGAAGGAGAGGTCATGTCCATGAGATCATTTGCAAAGATTTGGCAGACCATGAAAAACGTTGAACCCTGGCTGGAAGGCAGCCCTGATAAGTGAGAGAAGGAGAGTTACTCATGCAAACTCCTTGTCCTACCCTTACTGTTTTTCAAACTTTTGGGATGTCCTCAAGTACAGCACAGATCTTTATCAAGTGCTGTAAGAAATGTTGACAGAAAAAGCAGGTCTCTCTCCACCTAACTCCAACAATCCTCATTTCTGCAACTTGTCTGGTTCCTCCCAGGCTGAGGAGAACTAGACATACATTTTGCTTATAATGATCAAGAGCTTCTTTCAAGTTTCTGTTTATTCTTGCATCTTGACTGTGGTTCAATGTTTGTTTTTAATGTCCAGTGCATCCAGAAACATTTATTGCTCTCTCTCTGACATAAGACAATTACTCAAGATGGGAAAAATATTCACTGAAATAAGGTCTCCTCTACCTATGGAGCCCAGTAGAGATGCATTGCCTGGGAAGGAGAATTTACATGTGTTGCTTGAAAGGGAACCCCTCTAGTTCATAACCATGACCTGCTGGTTGATAGCACCAAGACACACACCGTAATGTCCTGCTATACAACTGCTTCTGGCAGCCAGGCTCGGTTTTAACCACAGTTCTTACTAAGATTTCAGGAATCTCATTAATGTCACATACTTGCCCATTCAGCTGAACCAGTTTTAGAGGGAGTGTAGATTAAAATAATAAAAATAAAAAAGGTACCTTGAAGCTAAACTGCAGCCCTCACACAGAAACCTAAATCATCTGTTATCCCACCAGACCCCACTCTTTTGGTCCTGTGCTGCTCCCCTGATACCAACCTGTCCCTTTCTCAGCACAGCACCGTACCACCATGTTGCTGTACTGCTGTCAATCTTCCCAGATCCAAATGTGTTATTTTATTTGTATTGTGATTATTACTTTAACAACACCACCGCTACAGGTTCAGATCCAGCTGTGGTGTTACAGACTGTGTAATAACACCTTCTCAAAGTATCCCAGCACATTAGTCATAGAATCAGAGAATGGTTTGGGTTGGAAGGGACCTTAAAGATCACCTAGTTCCACCCCCCCTGCCATGGGTAGGGACACCTTCCACTAGACCAGGTTGCTCAAAGCTCAAAGCCCCATCCAGCCTGGCCTTGAACACTTCCAGGGATGGGGCAGCCACAACTTGTCTAGGCAACCTGTGCCAGTGTCTCACCACCCTCACAGTAAGGAATTTATCCCTTTGTATCCTCCTCTTTTGTCTTGACATTGCCTCGCCTCGTTGAATTGTTATGTACCGTGTGTCTGCTGAAAGGGCAGATTACTCCTGCTTGTGTCCTGCTTGTTCCTTTCGGTACTTACAGACTCCGTTTTATCTCCTGATGTGCTCATGTGCTACCTTTTTCTGCATCTCATCACCTGTCACCCCGCTGACAGATCCAGATTTCCTTTCACCACTACCTTGCTCTTTTATTTTTCCATGACTCCCCTGCCCAATGACATCCAGTCTCACTGTCACCAGTGCATGTAGTACAGCAAATGCCAAGATATACCTGCCAGTCTCAGCAGACCTACTGACAGCTCTCCCTGAAGTGATTCACCAAGGAGAACAAGAATGGAGGAAGGTTGCAAGTAAAAGCAGATGTATTACACAACAAAAAAGGCCAGATACTAAATATTTTACCATTTAAAACCAGAACAGGTATAAAGGATAGGGATTCTATGAATAAACCAGCTTCTCATTAGTGAAAGATACAGGATATATGTCAAGTTTTATGAACAGTCATTTCTGTCACAATATTTCACATGACAGGCAATGAGCTCAACTAGAGCAAGACCATCTCACCCACCACAAAAAAAAAAGGAGCAAACTCCATGGATAAACCAGGACATGACCCTCCTCTGAAATGGAAAAATCTATTTAAGTTTTTCTATATCGAGTAGGAAGCAACATAGACCCATCCCTGCAGGTAGATAGCTGCCTGGAAACTGTCTACGCTTACAATATTCCCAGGGACAGATCCAGGCCATCTGTTTCCCTTTTCCATAGGGCTCTATTTGCATGTTGGTGACCTCAGTCAAGAGCCAGAAACCCAAACTGGGACATGTCTGGCCTAAACTTTGCACTTCTTGTTCCCATGACTAGAACAAGGGTTTCTGACCCATAACTAGACCCACGGTTTTGGGGGCTGCAGCAGATGAGCCATAATCACAAACTGAAACCTTCTTAGCACCCTTTGTTTATACGGGCAAGATGGCTTTATAAGAAATGGCTCTATAAGAAGTTAGATCAGCTCCACTATGTGTGAAAAAAGCACCAAGCATTATCACCGTGCTGACCATT